TTTTTTTTTGGTCAGACCACTAGTAAAAGTGTAACTGGGAATTCTATCCAGTCTCTTTCAATCAATATCCGACATACAGTAATGTGGATATTTGTACTTTTGAAGTGGATATATGACATACATAAGAAGTGCAGCCTTCTGCATTTCAATACAGTTACTGTCATCCAAACTGTTGCCATAGTTTACTTTAGGTAATACTAACAGAGTGCAGTTATATTGACACTAAGCATTTTGACTATCTTGTTTGTGAACAATGACACAAGGACTTTTCATTCTGATGGCACTGATATGTTCATTGACATAAATACTTGCTTTTGAGAGACGAACTAGAGATTTTGAGTAAGTTACAGGCTTTTGCAGGTAATCCATTGTGTGGTGCTGTTTGTACAAATTGTTTTGAGAAATGCACTTACATCAGGTAATACCGTAATGCTAACAGAGTGCACTGTTATATTTACAACATGACTAAGCATTTTGACTATCTTGTTTGTGAACAATGACACAAGGACTTTTCATTCTGATGGCACTGATATGTTCATTGACATAAATACTTGCTTTTGTTTGAGAGACTAGAGATTTTGAGTAAGTTACAGGCTTTTGCAGGTAATCCATTGTGTGGTGCTGTTTGTACAAATTGTTTTGAGAAATGCACGTACTTCTTTGCAAATATTAAGGATGATTCGAGAAATGCACCAAAGCGACTGGGAAAAACTGTAATTGGAAGAAAAAAATACTACTGAGGGCTTTTAATTTCAATTGCCCTGTCTCTTCAGCGAACCATCAGGACTTTTACGCTGAAATGTTTCCACGCGGGCCGCCATTTTTAAAAAGGTCCCTCACACTCCGCCGCTTCACAGCTGAATATATTAAGCCTCCAAATAACCGGTGTTTATATTCGTGGGGCGTCCTCGTCTGTTCGCGCTCTCTCCCAAAGAAAACAAGCACGGCCCGCACCTCTGTCAAAAAAGCAGTTTCAGACAAATTAAAGCCCAGACAAGAAGTGCGTGTGTTTTTATTCCGATGAGGATATTATTAAATGGGGTTCTAGAGCTCATTTCTGCCGCGGTGGATTTGGAAGCGGATTTATTTTATCTGGGATCTTGTCATTGGAGCAAAGGAATACAGCAGAGACAGCAAATCCAATCGGATTGACAGGTAACACAAGTCTTTATTTCTATTAGTGAATAGTTGGCGCAGTGATTTTGTAATTCGAGCCCGTAAATCATTCGCGCGACGCGTTACATTGTATCTGCGGTTTGTTACAGTATGTGTCTTTATTATCGGAGCGGCACTCAACACATCTATGTTGTGTAACGCACATTCCCACCAGCCTGTGCTCCCTCGAGGACAATTTCTCTTGTGTTTAATCGCGTTTCTCTTTCTGTGAATAATATATTTTGTTCGGTATTCATTGAATCTTTCCGTTTGAATCGTTCAGAAACGCCCAGTCACCCTGTGTTAACAAGTGCGTGTATTTATAGCTTTATCATGCATTTTCAATCTTCAAAAAGCATTTAAAACAGCTCTGTATATTCAGATAGTGTGGGTTATTTCAATTTAATTCAACGTAATTTATTGGAGTGATTATTTTGCATGCAAATCGCATAAATAAACCTTCGCAATAAAAACAATGACAGGAATGTGCAGTAAACGTCAGAAACAATATGAATACAATAAACGTTCATCTAGACCCTAATGAACATTAGGGTTGCAAAGGGGTGGTACATTTCCGGAAACTTTCCAAAAATCCCTGGAATATTCCAAAAAATCCTGGAAAGTTTCCAAAATTTCTGGAATGTTTCCGAAATGTATTGGAAATGTTCCACCTTTTTGCAACCCTAATGAACATTAATACAAGTAGTATGGTGATCAGAGCTGAATATGAGTTTAGCTGCAACAGATGCATGACTGTCTTACCCAGCAACACCTGCGTTTGAGCTTTTAGAAAATGTAAAATTGGTTCTGAAAGGTTTTTTTTTTTTTCCTCACAGTGAGCACAGAATCACTTTTTTTGGGGAAACAAGCGTTTAGTTTGTAATGTGACTTAGGCCTATTATTGGCTTTATTTGAATTAGTTATGAACTATATACACACACTCACTCACTCACTCACTCACTCACTCACTCACACAAACAAACTTTGTGCATTTTTAGATTTTCAAAAAACTTCATTCTGTATGATTTATAAGCTTTTGTACCCGTGGGGATCACAATTTAGGTCCCCACCGTGACACGAGTCCCCATGAGTCTGTGTGTGTGCAGGTTTAAGTCCCCACCAGGATATATAAACCA